AAGCAGCAGAAAGAGAAGCTTGAACTTTCTTTACCTTTCACCTCAAAATTTTATTCATCCTTTAAGGTTAGGGTAAGCTTAAGTCCTGATTGCTCCATGAAGCCTTTAGTCCACAGTGATTCTTTTCCTTCTTTCGACAAAACCATTCACTGTCAACATTCTATACCATTTGTTTTATAATTAATCATAGGCTAGCTCTTGTACTGATACTTAAATTTCTGTGTGTGTTCCATGCTTCTTCAACTAGACTGCAAACAGCTTGGAGGTAGAGTCAATAAATACTTGATTGATTGAGGCTTCATTCAAGGATGGTAGTCTGCCTGCATCAGAAAGCTGTACAACTGAACTGCCAATGGTACTGCTTTTTTCTGAGAGGGGCAAAACTCTATAATCTGGATCTTTGCCTAACAGTATCTTTCTTGGAGAATCTGCTGTAATTTGCCAGGTCTGTCTTTTAAGAATAAGAAGTTAATATACATTTCTTTTCTTACTCATATAAATTTTCTACACAGCTGAACTTTGGTGAAACTTCACAGCTAACTAGTACTCCATGAGTAAGAGTTACTGTTTAAATCTGACTAAGACACAGAATCAAAAGCAGACTACGTTTCCAATGGTAGCATAATATGGCCCATTTTTAATCTCCTACTTTAAAAATCACCACTATATTTAGAACAATATGCTAACAAGTTAAATTAGAATGTATTTAGATTCCTAAACAAGATCATCAAGTCCAATTTGAAAGAATTTTATTTGAAGTGAAGATGAACTAAGAATTGAGGACAGTGGAAAGATCACTGGATTTGAAGTTAGGACCTAGGCTTAAATCTCATACCTGCCATTTACCATTTATGTGATCTGAAGCAAGTCACTGAACTTCTCTCGATCTTAGTTTCCTCATTTGTAAAATAAGTGGTTGGATGAGATTTTGATTTGAAGGTTACCTCCTAGCTGTAAATCTATGCTCCCATAAACCACGTAAAACATGTATTTGTGGAATTCACATTAAAAAACTGCAAACTTCTCTGACTAGTCTCAATTTTCTCTTGTTCTCAACTTTTTGTAAATTTACTCTTTTGGTACCCAAACTTTTCAAAATTTTCTAAGTAAATCTTATTACGTAAGTAGAATACAAACTTATTCATCAAATACTTAAGAGGTTTTTCAAACCTATAACCTAAACCATGACCCCTAACAGAAAATTCTTATATTAACCAAACTTTCATACTACTCAACTTCATCTGACCCAGAACACTTCAAGATGGGGGTATATAATTAAATCTCAATGAAAAAGTCTACCTAATAAGAAAATTAATAAACATTAGAATTTACTAAGATCTGAAAGCCAAAAATGAAATAAAATTGGAAAACTGTGATAAAGTAATGTTTTGATGTTTTTAAGACTACAGAAACAAGAAACTATTATTTGAGGGGGGAGAGGTTAGGAGGAACTTGCCATAATATGATGTCAAGGGAGCACGGAAAACAATAGAATCTCAGTCACCCCCTAAGTCAGCCTTTCTTTTCATGCAACTAAAACCACATAGGTGAACACACAGATTTTAGTCTCATGCTGCTAAAATGCAATAGCTTTTTGTATTACATAAAAGCAAATCTCTAATTTAGAAAATGTTCAATTTTCTAAAATAAAAAATTGTACATGAATATTGCCAGAATTTGTTCTCTGAAGTGCTTTTATTCTCACTAAGGCAAAACAGTAAAGGTATTTGGGGACCATTCTCTTTGGTTTTCAAACAAAAAATTCTCAATTCCTGTTCTGTACAGAAGGGGACACTGTATATAATGCTCCTGCTGCAGATAGTCTTCATTGCAGTAACATCTGGATGGGTTTTCACTTGATACCTTTTTTGCTCTGCTGAAGGCATCTAAAGGCAGGATGAAGAACACTGCATTTTCACCCTATTGACAAAAGTTTCTAAGTCAAGGTCTTGAAGTAACCCAGACTGGCAGTTCTTCATGAAAGCCAATTCTAGTATCGCAGAAACACAATCTATTGCATTTGTTAATGATTACTAAGTTAATACAGTGGAAAAGCATAAATTAGAAAAGGTAAATTAAAAGAACCATATGCTTTCTAAAAACAATTGTTTCTTCCTTTCTCCTTGATAACTTATACTTAATTTTTGTAAAATAAGATATTTATTACTTGACAAAGCACTTTAGAGCTTTGAATAAAACATGTAAACTAAAATCAAAACACTTAATATTGTTTAGGACAATATTTAATTTAAAACTATTCACACAAAACAATGAAACTGTTTTTTCTTGATATTATTTCTAACTTTCACACTAAGAACAAACTAGTTTTCCCTAAAGTACTGGTCAGGGGAGACATAAGCCCTAGGCTATCTTAAACTTGGAACAACCCATTGTTACAAATTCCTCCAGTTAGAATTCCCATCCTCCTAATCTTCAAAAATCTGTATAGCTGCTTAATTAACTGAAAAATAACCAAAAATTCCTTCTTACACTGAACTAATGAATGTGTGTTTTAAAAAAGAATCAAAATTCCATAAATGAGCTAGTATTTTAGTACTATTCCTAGGGTAAGATGTAGTTTGGAATTTCCTTTAGGAAGTTTCTCTCCAGAAACTAGTATTTGTATCCCTACACCCCCTCCCCCAAATTGTTTAATATTACTTAAGGATGCAGTTTTAAAGCAGACTACATATGATACTGAAACAATGTTTTCGAATGAATGAGAAAGTCATTTGAGTAATGAAAAAAACAAACATAAAAAACCAGAAAACTTGTAAGACAAACACAAAGATAAAAGATTAGAAGGAAAACCTTAATGCTACTTTCACAGACTAAAAGTTGACATGTAATACAAATATTACCAAGAAGCAGGAAGTGGAGATTCTATCTCTCAATCAAGAAAACTGATGGGGGGGGAGGAATTACTTCTTAATATTTTTATCACTTAATTCTTTTTCCCTTTTCAACGGAAAATTTCCATTTTCCCACATCTATGTGGATGTCTTTTTAGAAAACCACAAGTATTTCCACAGTCTTGATCTCATTAAGTAAAATACTGCAAAGGCTTGGGCTCAAGCTGAATGACATTTGAGGTGTCCATGATTCTGTGTACAGTAAAAAGACTTCAAATGCCAAACACAATTCATTTCAATTGAACAAACAGGTATATGGCACAATGATAAATGCTAGATATGAACAAAAAACAGTCCCTACCCTAAGGAGCTTACATTAAAAAATAATGACAAATTCCAGTTTTCTTTTTCCTTTGCGAGGCAATGGGGTTAAGTGATTTGCCCAGGGTCACGACAAATTCCAGTTTTAATAAAATTGTAATTGCTTTTCAATGATTAAGTCAATGCTAGAAAGGTCTTATACCCACCAAAATGTTTATGGTGGTGCTTTTTAAAGTAGTAAAGAACTAGAAACAAAGAAGATACTCTGGGGAATAGATAAACAAGCTGTAGCATGTGAAGGCAATGAAATATTACTACGTTTTAACAAATACTGAATGTAGAGAGGCATGGAAAGATTTATATTAACTGATGCAAAGGTGAAGTAAACAGAATGAGGAAAAACAATATGTAAGATTGCAAGAATATTTCAAATAAACACTTATTAAGCACTTACTAAGTGCTGAGTGCTGGGGATACAAAGACACAGGTGAAACAGTCCTTATAAGAAGCATATATTCTAATGGAGGAAATGACATGTATTATAATAATGTACATATTATTATAATACAATATTATAATAGGTACATATGACATATACAAAGCAGATACAAGTTAATGGAAATTGAAAAAAATGACAATAAAAGAAACAAAACCTGAATTCTATGAAATTATAATGACTAAGCTTAGAATATACCTCCCTGCCTTCTCTGCAGGGATGGATGACCTTGGGTATGAAATACTGCACATGGGGCAGTGAGGTGGTGCAGAGGATAGAGCACCGCCCTGAAGTCAGGAGGACCTGAGTTCAAATCTGGCCTCAGACCAAACACTTGACACTTACTAGCTGTGTGACCCTGGGCAAGTCACTTAACCCCAACTGCCTTAAAAAAAAAAAACAGAAATACTGCACATAATGTTGGACTTGGCTGACATGTTGATTAGTTTTGCTGAATTGTTTTTTCCTCTTCTTTGTTCTAAAAGCTGGTTCAATGGAATGGAGTAAGGGGAAGGACCTATTGGGAAACAGCCATAATATAAAAACAAAAGATAAATTTTAAATAAGAAAATGTGATTTGTAAAATTCAAATCGTTTAATGGAGACCAACCACCATTATGAAATGGGCTATGATTTATTGGATCATTCAAAGACATTCAGTGTACACTATTATTAGAAATAAAAATGGCTTCTTGAACATTTCAGTGTGTTAGAGGAATTTCTCCAGGTCTCTTGGGATGTCTGAGTGACAGAACAACAAAACAGTTGAAAATTGTTGCATCTGGGACAGTAAATGTTTCAATACTTGCCTGTGGGCCACGCCTGTGTGTCTGAGTTCTGGTATGTCCTTTAGTGATTCTGCTAAATAATATCCCCAATATTTCCACTCTGTACCCATTCTACATTTACTCTGAATTAATAAGAACTTAGCATATGGAGACTGCAAAAAGGACAAGGGCTTTCGGACTGAAGAATTCATATAATCATGAGAAAACCACAGATTTAGAGTTAGAACTTTAAAGTTCATCTAGACCAACTCTCTCATTTCACAAGTGAAGAAACAAACCCAGAAAGATGAAGCGATCTGCTCTAGGACACACGAGTAATTTGTGGCAGAACCAGGATTGGAATCTAGGTCCTTTTAACTCCAAACCCAGCAATCTTTCTATTGTACCACACATTTTATTTTGCAGGCTACCTCCAATTATGAAACTCGAGGAAGTCTATGTTAAAATGGGATTGGGGTGGATGAGGAAGGACAACAGTGATATCATTAATGAGAAAGAAAATTACATAGAAGAAAAGGACAAAAGGCAACAACCAAGACTTACTTAGCTCTTCTCTGTGTCTCTCTGTTTCAGCAAAATACTGGCGGAGCTCCTCAGTGATCTCCATGTTACTCAAGTCACATTCTATTTCCCCATCTGAATCTGACTCTTCTTCTGTGGAGGAAACTTGATCTTCTTTTGTGGTCACCTGATAACTGTGAGTATTACCAGGGGGCTGCTGTGACCATCTAGGATACTGAGATCTGCTAGGCCAACCATGGGAAGATAAACACTCTTCCTTGGCTGACTGGTCATCTCCACCCCAGTCCGCATAACGACTCCTCGGAATGAGGGCAGGCAAATACCATGGGGAATTGTAGAATGATAACATAGCCTTCCTGTAGGCATTCCGATGTCTCCGCATCCACTGCATGGCTTGGTTATAATGCTGCCAGTATCTTGCATATGCTCGCTGAGAATACCATGGCTCAGAGTCTCCCTGTGATGAATCCTAAAACACATGGGTACAGAATATAGAAACACCTTTAAACAACCAAATGACAAGTATTACGTCTAAGTGATAAATATTAAGTACCTATTGTTGTGCTAGGTGTTATATGTATAAATATGAAAGTATAAGACATGATCAATATCCATAAAATGCTTAATAACTGAAGGGGATGGAGGAAGCACACATACATAAAATGAGATTACATAATGCCAGAAAACAGGAAAGTAGGTTAATAATTTTTAGGAAAGATATGGGGAAAAGTGCAAAGACCCAGACTGTCTGAGTCATTTACACCTAGAGAGTAGGAGGGGTCTGACTCCAAATTTGGGGCACTCAGCCAGTAGAAACAAGGAAATTGCTGAGGGGCAGTAGTTTCTCAGTAACTTCCAATCTCAGCCCCTCTCACCGTCCAAACACTTGGGGCAGCAACTGCTTCCTTGATTATCAAGAAGAACAAAATTTTAGGCATTATTATTATTTTAATACTATTCCTTTGTTCTAGTTCTTAATTCTTTTCCAGTGGGACAAGAACAAATAAACACACAACACTTAAAATACTAATACTTATTACTTCTTATCCTTTCTACTAAGTTAAAAATAAATAATCCTTACCATCACTGATGTGTGCCAGTTCCAACAGCCACCAGAAACTGGAATACAAAATATCCACACTATAAATGTTGAGATTATTACAGGCATGTGACATTTACAATTATTTGTTAAGTCTGGAGTTGTAGAAGAAGCATTCTAGAGGCTATTTTCTCCTAGTTCCAATGCTCATAATTCAAGTAAAATGATATCATATGGATAGTAGCACTCTGATTATGGCCAGGGTTCAAATAGCCAAGGTTCTTTCCCATTGTCACAGTTAAGTGAGTTGAACATTACAACATGTTTCTGTATTCAATTAGCTTTTCTATAAGCATTGAAGTCTTATTAAAATCAACCAAGCATAAACATATGCTGGTCACTATATTTGCAAAGTAATACACCACTAAAATAAGATGTAAAAAAAATTTAAACACCTAATTACCTTATATTGGTTGTCATCACAAGCTTGAATGCAACATATCTTTCTAAACCAATGTCAACCCTTCTTTAATTTAGACCTAGAGCTCAACTTCAACATCAGGAATCTGAGAAGCCACTGTAAGTGTAAGCACTACCACAGCCTTTCTTCTGCTACAAGTTTTAGTGCCTCTATTGAGAATCGTTCCCTGGCCATAGAGTAGGGGTTCTTAACTTGGGGTAGTTGTTTTAAAAGATCTTCTGATCACTATATTTTAAAATTGTGGCTTCCTTTATAGTCTTATATATTTTATTTTATGTATTTAAAAACATTCTGAGGTGTCCACAGACTTCAGCAGGCTGCCAATGGGGTCCATGACACACAAAAGATTAAGAATCCCTGAAAAAGAGTCCTTTATCTTCACTACTCTCACTTCATAGTGTCTCCCTACTGGCTTAAAGAACCTGTGCTTCTTTTCCAAATAGATTGACAGAATAGAGGTTAAGTCAGTAGTTTCCAAACTTTATGGAATAACACTTCCACTTGTGCACAAAATAATTCTTATCTCCCGACTTGCAAAAAATAATCTAAGAAAATAATTTTCTTAGTGTCTTTAATTCAGAAAATTAAAACTTATGACTATTAAATGAATAACAAAAATAAACTACGCAGATGTCTTTATTAATAATATCACTTATTTATTATCTAGATTGCACAGTGATGACTGATGAGCCTGGAGTCAGGAAAACCTTAGCTCAAATTCTGCCTCGGACACTATTTGTATCACCCTGGGCAAGACACCTAACCTTTGTCTACCTCAGTTTCCTCATCTGTAGGATGATAGCACCTACTTCCCAGGGTTATCGTGAGGATAAAATAAAATATTTGTAAAGTGCAATAAAAAGCTTAAAGTGCTATATAAATGCTAGTTATTGTTACTATTAGCTACAAATCATCACTTTCATGTTTATAATATAAAATAACCACCATAATAATATTGTGATGAGTGAGCTTGTTTTTAGGTACAAAGTTTTTCAAAAGTTTTATGATACTGCTATGCTACTTGTAATTCTTTTTCAACCACTAATCAAGACTGATTTCATTTACAACAGCTACAGTGAAAAATCAACAAGATGCTTTAAATAGTAATAAACATTGAACCTTTTTGTTTGATAAACCTGAGAATTATTTATTCACTTGTAGTTAAAACATAGTAAGATTGAGGTTCAAATGTTCGTTTCAGTGCACTGTCACAAGACAAGCCTATTAACTGTTCTTGATCACATGGAATACGCCCCAATGTATCAGATCTATTAGAAGCAACTATATGGCTCAGTGGATAGAGCATTGGGGTGCAGACAGAAAGACCTGAGTTCAAATGTGGCCTCAGATACTCACTACCTATGTGACACTGGGTAAGATATTTAGCCTCTATTTGCCTCAGTTTCTTTACTGTAAAATGGGGATAAAAACAGCATCTACCTTGCATGATGACCATGAGGATCAAATGAGACATTTGTAAAGCACTTAGGATAGGTTTCTGGTACATAGTAGGTACTATATAAATGCTTATTCCCTCCCCTTTCATGGCAATGTGTTCCTTATTTACTCATACTTAGGAATATCTCAGGTCTTTCAAATAAAGTAACAATTGCTTCTGCAAAGTACACAAGTGACTTTTTTTTTTAAAGCAAACCATTTACTTCTTTATTATTTGCTGGGCAAGTATTTTTTAAATTGGGAAAAATCTATCAAATTATTTGGTAAATTTATTATCTTTAGCTTTGAAAAACAGATGCAGTTACTATTTGGGTGAAATCTGAATTTGATTTATATAGAATACGACATTTTTTTCAAGAATATACAAAAATATAGAAGTTTTTTAAAAATTTTTTTATAAAATGATTTTGTTTCCTCCTTATCATTATCACTAAGGAAATTGGCACTTTGTTCTCTTAGCTCAAACATTCTTCAAAGTACTTCAGCACGACAAAGCCAGTGTGTTTTGCAATACAGAAGTGCCTTATTCTCCACTCCTATATATGTGCCTGTATATCTCTATCTATGTATCACTTAGACGAGGTCACACTGCCAGTTGGTAACAGACTAACTCTTCTGAGCGGAAATCTAGTATCCCTTCCCATTTAGCTAATATGATGGATGAAGGATCACAAGATAGAAGAGGCTTATTATCCAGGTGAATCAGAAAATATCTGGGCTTTTATTTCATTTACTTGATGTCTCCTAGGAAATTCTGAGATTTTCCACTCATAGGAAATCTTAGGGAAAGATGAGTGAGACAATATTAAAGGGTATAACTTAGGTTTTATATTTTATTTTGGGGTTTTTTTTTTGGCTAGGCAATGGGGTTAAGTGACTTGCCTAGAGTCACACGGCTAGTAAGTGTTATGTGTCTGAGGCCGCATTTGAACTCAGGTCCTCCCGAATCCAGGGCCTGTCCTCTATCCACTGCGTCACCTAGCTGCCCCGGTTTTATATTTTATAATCAGCAATATGTCCACTTCATTTTTTACAAGTTTTTTTTTAAGCGCTTAAAAACTCATATATAGCAATCAAAAAGAGAATTCATGATTATGAAAGGCAACAACTGAGTTTTGTACTTTTCTGGCCTTATCAGAGTCAATTTCCCAAAGATGGTGAGAGGGCCTGGCCTAATAGCTAATTCTGTTAACTTTAAGTTGGTTAAATACATGTGTTCCCTCTGACTCACTTAACATTCTTTTCACTTAGGTCCTCAGGCAAATGTGGAGTTCTTTACTAGCATAAGAATCCAAGAAGAAAGGAACTACTGGGATTCCTGAAATTATTCAAAACAATTTTAGATATTAAAGTCACAATTCCAGACACTATACCCTCTAATGAAAGGAAGCTTACAAGGGAGAAGATGTAAATCTGAAGTTCTAGGTTATTTAATTGTATGACGTTTCTTTGAAATATTTTTTTCCCAGGTCTGTCAGCTGCTTTTTAATAGCTTAGTCAATTGAACAGCAACTTTTCACCTTATGGGACAGTGGAGCTAAATGAAAAGAGATTGGTAATGTCAGGAAGGGCTGCAGTCAACAGAAATGCAAATCATGAAGCCACCACAAGTCAGTACAATGGCATAATAGTCACCACACAGCTGAAACCAAGCTAGTACAGAGACTGAATTCATTGTCTCCCCCACACCACCAAGGGGAGGAAGAAAAAAACAGGGTTGAGGTCATTCACTAAACACTGCTGTGGTCTACAGGCAAATAAAAGAGTCTCCAAGTCCTAAAAGCTACATTTTCCCATGAAGATTTTCTTTTTTTAAAGCTTATTTTTTAGTTAATCTGTTATCACTTTTAAGTGTTATATTTTTACATGTATAAAAATATACACACAATAAAGAAAAAAGTCTAGAGCTCCCCTCCATAAAATTTGCCAATTTCAAGTCTAGCTAACCAGAAACTCTATGAATAAGTAATGCTCTCTTTCTTGCAAAGCAGTAACATTATATGTATATATACTCACACACAAATTTCTACTGTATATTTACATTCATGTAAACATAGGATATGGGCTGGCAGATACTTAGTATAAACATAAAAAGCATCTTCTTCCTCTCACATGCTAATGCAGACTTTGCAGCTGTTTTTAATTTTTCTTTTCTCACCAGAAATTTGAACATTATACATACGAAAATATACCTTTTGACTGATTTCTGCACAGCAACAACTGGCTATTCTATAAACTGATTCTGAAATTAAAAAGAAAACAAACTTTAGTAGTTAATATATCAGAGTAGACCCTCCTTATTGGCTTACCATATATTTGGCTATCTGATTAATATAAGTCATTTTGGGGCCTACAATTAAATATTTACTGCTCTGAAATGATTCTTGTAAAAGGTAGAGGCCCAGGTGAGACTGTAGCAAATGCAGGCTGAAACGATGCTTCCAGGCTAGGTGCCTGGAAAATGTCAAAGTTGAGTACCAGTTAGGCAAGTAACACTTGGATAAGGAAAAAAAACAATACCCAAACTTTCCTTTTTTATATCATATCTATAGTATTATGGAATTAATGAGGTACAAGAGTCAGGAAGATCCAAGTTCAAATTTGTCACTCGCATTTGGAAAATGAGCTCTTCAAGCTATTAAGCAAGGCTGGGGCTGTTTTTCCTTTTCTTTAAATTTCCAGCCTTTAGGACAGTGCCTAGAACAGGGTAAATGCTTAATAAATGATTTTTTGACTGACTGCCTCTCTTAATTCAGTCTAAGATGTGGCTTCCATATTATTTCCATATTCCTTCGATGGCTGCCGCATTACACTGCTGACTTATACTAAGCTTCAGGGGTTTTGTGCAGCTGTTTTTAGAGATATTCTAGGGACCTAGTTTTCTAGGGAACCAGTTTTTAGTTCTTCCAAGGTGAAAGAATCTAAGGAAGGGTGTTGTTTACTACCCTCCTGGCCTGTGGTCTGGTCTGTGAGCAATCCCAAGCGCTCTTTTCTGCTCCTGAAGGATTTTACTCAGTTTTACTGAGGGTCCCTGCTCCACTGTGACTGCAAGCTCTGGTATGCTAGTGTCCCAGGATTGTGACCTGGATCCAAGTTGGGCAAAGCAACAGAGTCTGGTCCCAGTGCTAACAAAGAGACCCCCTGCAATATCCTTCTGACCAGCTGTTCAACCCCTTTACTGTCCGTGGGTGGAGAGGTCCAGAAGTAGATGCGGCCACTGCTGATTCAGTGGCTCCCAAGGGGTGCTCTTGGTTTGCTGGGGCTGGGTCTGTACTGGGCTCCACGCTCACCCCAGTGTGACAGACCTTTCCTGCTGATCTTCTCAGTTGTCTCTGGCTAGAAAATTATTTCATCCTGTCCTTTTGTGGGTTCTGTTGCTTCAGGAGCTGTTTTATGGCATTATTTAAAGGTGTTAGGAGGGGTTTCGGGGACAGCTCTGGTGAGTTGCTGCCTTGAGTCACTGCTTTTTCTCCACCATCTTGGCTTTACCTCAATATATATATTTTTAAAATTTTCAATTTAATTTTATTTTCAGTTCCAAATTCTCTTCTCCTTTTCCTCTCCCTCCCCCACCCATTGGGAATGATAGAGTGCTGGGCTTGATGTCAGGAAGACTCATTTTCCTGAGTTCAAATCTGACCTCAGACCCTAGGCAAGTCACTTAACCCTATTTGCCTCAGTTTCCTCATTTGTAAAATGAGCTGGAGAAGGAAATAGCAAACCACTCTAGTATCTTTGTCAACAAAACCCCAAATGGGATCATGAAGAGTTGGTCACAACTGAAATGAATAAACAATTATTAGTAATTTAGAGCATTTTTTAATAAGGCTATTGATAGCTTAGATAGCCTATTCAAACTCTTTGACCATTCATCAACTGATAAACAGTCTTACTCCTATAAATTTTACTTAGTTCCCTATATATTTTAGAAATGAGACCTTTAAAAGAGACACTTACTGCAAAGATTTTTTCCCCAAGTCTCTTGCTTTTCTCCTAATTTTAAATGCTTTTGTTTGTGCAAAAACTTTTTTTTAATTTTAGGTAACTGAAATTATCCATTTTACCTCCTATGAACCTCTCTATATTATTTAGTTATGAACTCTTCCCCTATCTATAGGCATAACAGGTAATTTCTTCCACGCTCCACTGATTATGGTATCACCCTTTATATCTAAATTGTGTATCCATTTGAGCTTATCTTGTTAGGTAGAGAGTATGAGGTGTTGGTCTCTGTCTAGCAGCTTTAGAATGATTAAAAAATGAAAAGTCTATCAAATGCAAAAAGGGAAATAAGTATGTTGTATAATCTGTACATCAATAACATGCATGTAAGTAATCAGACTTATTTTTCTGCCTAGTTCTTGTAATCAATATCATTACTTAAAACTCATAATTACAATTCATCAGTAAACAGAAGAAATACGGGGTGTCAAGTGAAGAAAGGAAAATTCAAACGAAATTAATAAAAAAAATGTTTGCAACCTCATGGCCATTCCTATCTCACTGTCACCCCCACTTAATTTCTATCTCCGCATTTCTGGCAGATACCACCTAAATTATTTCAACAGCTTCCTAATAGCTTTACCTGCTTCAAAAGTCTCTTCCTCTGCCTGCTTCCATCCTCCACATAGCTACCAAAGTGATTTTCCTAAAGTACTGGTCTGTTTCCCCTGATCAATAAATTTCGGTGGCTTCCTAACTCCTTTAGGATCAAACACAAATTCCCAGGTTTGGCATTTAAAGTCATTTAAAACCTGTTTCAAACCTGCCTTTCTAGACTTAATACATATTTCTTCCCTGTATGCACTCTATGGTCTACTGTAGCCAAAAAAGCCTTCTTGTTGAACCCAAACATGACATTCCATTTCTCATTTCTCTTCTTTGCACAGATTGGCTTCCGTGCTTGGAATGCACTTCCTCCTCACCTCTGCCTCTGAGAATCCCTAGCTTCCTTCAAAGTCCAGCACAAGGGAATTTTTCTAATCCCTTCAGCTGCTAATGCCTTTCTCCACCCACTGCCCCATTACTTTGCATTTACTGATACACTCATAAGTGTACGTGTTGTCCTTCTCCAACATAACACAAATTTTTTGAGGATATTGTTTCATTTTCTTCTTTGTTAATGCCCAAGCCCTAGCACAGTCTCTGGTACGTGGGTGCTTAATAAATGCTTGCAGAGTGAACGATATAGTGTACTATTTTATCTTCATCACAATCCTGTGATATAATTATTTCCACGTTGTAGATGAGGAAACTGAGGTTTCGGAGAAATTAAGCGACTCACTGATAACAAGGAGTACTTACCAGAGGCATGGAAGTGATTAACTAACAGAACTAGAAAACATATCACTTCCATGTCTCTGAAACAAAATGCAAAATATTTTGCAACAGCTTTTTCACCTAGGCTAAATCCATTCCACAGCTGGGGTGCTTAATAGACACTCTCTTGAATTTGATCTCAATCACTTATGACGATCTTTCAATATAAGCACAACAAAGCAACCTTTTCTAACTTTGGAAGAAACTTGTTTTGGGGGGCAGCTAGATGGCGCAGTGGATAGAGCACTGGCCCTGGCCTCAAGAAAACCTGAGGTCAAATCCGACCTCAGACACTTAACACTTACTAGCTGTGTGACCGTGGGCATGTCACTTAATCCTGTTTGCCTCAGTTTCCCCATCTGTAAAATGAACTGGAGAAGAAAATGGCAAACCACTTCAGTATCTCTGCTAAGAAAACCCCAAATGGAGTCACAAAGAGTCGGACACGACTCAACAACAATAAAAAAATTTATAATATAATAAAATCCACATAAATGCCACCATTATTGTTTCATCAGCACCTAGCACAGCGCTTTACTCCAATGTGTGCTTAACAAATGCTTTCTTTGTTCATTTATGAAAACTTGAAGCCAAGCCTTGTGATTTAAGACATAAGAAAAGCTGAGTTTGAATCCTGGCCCCGTCCCTTTGCTGCTTGCGGTGACCTTAGCCAAGTCACTTCTCTCTGGGCCTCAGTTTCCCTATCTGCACTAAGTTGGGGGAAACGATCCCGAGGGGTCCTTATAGTTTTCTATCAGGGATCCTGATGTCAACCACTTCACTCCGGGCTCCTTCTCCTTCCTGCAGCCCCAGGGCCCTTCTTTTCCTCGGTCGCCCTCCCCCCCCCCCGTTTTCCTCCCGAACCCCGAAAAGAAGCCACGAGGAGACCCCGGGAGTGAGCCCGCAGGTCCCCGGTGACTCGGTCGCAGCCTAAGGATGCTGAGGTAGTATTTAGGGGCGCGGCAGTTTTTGGCGGCGGAGGTCAGAGGGAGGATTAGTAAAAGGCAGAGGGAGGCAGATAGAGCATTCATTACCCGAAGGGATCGGATTCCCACTTTAGGTCCACAAAAGCCGCTAGTCTCCAGGAAGGTTTGGTTGCCAAGCGTGACCGGAAGTCCCGCCTCCCGTGTCCTGGGGCGGCTGCACGCCCACCGGGTCACTCAGGGTGTGACGCAAGAACGTCGCGGGGTCGCAGGGGGGGTGGGAGGGGAGAAGCCGGTGGAGGAATGGCCCCGCCCCCGCGGTGTTGGAGCTGGCGGCGGCCGTGGAGAAGGCTGGGGGAGTAGAGTAGCTTCACCTCCTCCCTCCCGGCACTCCCAACGCCTTCCAGCCTCTTTCTCTTTGACCTCTTTCCATCCCAACACGTCCATTTTCTTCCTTTCTACTCCTCCCCCTTCCCCCTTCCTCTCCTACTCACCATTCCCCCCTCCCCCTCCTTCCTTCCTTGTCCCCTCTTCCCTCTCCCCCCTTCCCCCTCCTTCCTCACCTGTGGGAGTGATGGTAGCACCTACTTTGCAAGGTTGTGAGGATCAAATGAGATTATATTTGTAAAGCTCCATGCACTTAGGCATTGTACAAATGCTTATGACCCTCTCCACACTTTCCCCTTTTCTAGGTTTTTATGACACTGCTCTCCTAGTTCTCCTACCTGTCTGACTTCTCCTCAGACTTCTTTGCTGGATCTTCAACCAGGACATGCTGCCTAACTCTGGGTGTCCCATGAGGCTCTGTCCTGGGTACTCTCATCCCTCTGTACTGTCTCCTTTGGTTATCTCCCAGGGATTCAATTATTATTTCTATGCAGATTGTATATCCAGCCCTAACCTCTCTCCTGAGCGCCAGTCTCACATTTCCAACTGCCTGTTGGATGTCTCCAATTAGATGTTTCAGACATCTTAAATTCAACACATCCAAAACTGAATATATTATCTCCCCTCTGCTTCTCCCTGCCCCCTTCAACTCTCCCCTCTTCTTAACTACCCTCTTCTGTACTATCCAAGGCAACACCAACCTCCCAGTCACCCAGGCTTACAATCTAGGGGTCATCCTAGACTCCTTATTCTTTCTAACCCTATAGACATTCTGTTGCCAAGTCATGTTGATTCTGCCCTCTGAACATCTTTCGTATACGTCCCCTTCTCTGATACTGCCACCACTCTGGTGTAGGCCCTCATCACTTTCATGCCTGGACTATTGAAAAAGCCTTCTGGTTAGTCTTCCTACCTCAAGTCTCTCCCTACTCCAGCCCATCCTCCATTCGGCTTTACTTTTAAAGCAATCTTCCTAAATCACAGATTTGACCATGTTGCCTCCTCACCACCTTTCCTTAATGAACTTCAGTGGCTCCCTATTTCCTCCAGGATCAAATATAAAACCCTCAGTTTAGCTCTTAAAACCTTTCCTAAAATGATGCTGTTGGAGGAGATGTGGGGAAACTAGGACACTAATGCATTGTCGATGGAGTTGTGAACAGATCCAACCATTCTGGAGAGCAATTTGGGACTATACCCAAAGGGCTATAAAACTGTACATACACTTTGATCCAGCAATACCACTGCAAAGATATCAGAAAAAATGAGGGGGAGCAAAGGACCAATTTGTGCAAAAATATTTATGGCAGCTCTTTTTATGGTGGCTAAGAATTGGAAATCAAAGGGATGCCTTGGGGAATAGCTGTACAAGCTCTGGTATATGATTATAATGGAATGTTATTGTGCTATAAGAAATGACAAGCAGGATGATTTCAGAAAAACCTGGAAAGACTACATGAACTGATGCTAAATGAACACAGCCAGGAGAATGTTATGCACAGTAACTGCAGTATTATTCCACGAAACATTGCAAATATCTTAGCTATTCTCAGCAAGACAATGATCCAAGAAAATCCCAAAGGACTAATGATGAAGCAAACTGTCTCCAGAGAAAGAACTGATATTGTTTGAATACAGACTGAAGCATGCTATTTTTCACTTTCTTTCTTTTGTTCTTTTTCTTTTATTCAAGTCTTCTTGCACAAAATAACTAATATGATTGCACACGTATAACCTATATCTTACTGCTTACTGTCTCAGGGAAGAGACAGGGAAGGGTTAGAATTTGGAACTCAAAACTTTTTTTAAAAAGTTGAAAAATTGTTTTAACATGTAATTGATGGTGAAATAAAATACTTTTGGGGCAGCTAGGTAGTGCAGTGGATAGAGCTCTGGCCTTGGAGTCAGGAGGACCTGAGTTCAAATCCAGATTCAGACGCTTGACACTTATTATTAGCTGTGTGACCCTGGGCAAGTCACTTAATCCCAAGTGCCCAACAAAAAGCAAAAAAAGAAATAAAATGCTTTTTTTTTAAAAAAGAAAGGTATTTGCTCCAGGATTGTAAAAAAAAAAAAGACAAAAACCAAAAAAAAACCACCTTTCCTGACATGGCACCTTCCTCCCTTAAAAAGTCTTCTTACATTGTACTCCCCTCCAACTACTCCACAATCCATCCCTCACTCCGTGCATTTTTGCAGTATTGCATTGTCTTCTTTGCCTGTTATTCTCTCCTGCCTCACCTCTGCCTGGCTTTCCTGGCTTCCTTGAAGTATCAGTGAAAATCCCACTTTGTGCAAGAAATCTTTTCCAGTCGCCCTTAGTACTTCTGCCTTCCCTCTGAAATTACCTCCATTTTACCTGGTATAGTTCCCATTTGCACATAGCTGTTTCCATTGTTGTCTCCCTCATGACATTTGTGAAGATCCTTGAAGGCAGCAACATTTTTGCCTTTCTTTGTATTCTAGCATTTAACACAGTGCCTGGCATATAGTAAGTGTTTAATAAACGCTTGTGGATTTGACCTGATGCGTCCAAATGTGGGAGAACAACTGCATATATGTATATTCAATGGCTTCCTATATATGTATACATATATGAAGAATACAGTTATCTTGTCCTTCCCAAATACACTTGATAACTATGTAATCTATATGTATATCCAATATATATGTTTACATCTATGTATGTACCTGTAGTCCATAGAGTAGGGTGAGATGGAGCTGCATGCTTCCAGCAAGAACTGCACTATCTCTGAGCTTCTGAGGCCAGTACTTGGGCTGCTTGTTATTAATGTTCTTTTTTTTTTTTTTAAAGGCAATTGGGGTTAAGTGACTTGCCCAGGGCCACACAACTAGTAAGTGTCAAGTGGTTGGTCTGAGGCCGGACTTCAACTCAGGTCCTCCTGACTTCAGGGCCGGTGCTCTATTGGCTGCCCCTGATGGGGGCAGGGCCCAAGCCAAGATCTTCGCCCTTTGCCCCAAAGGGAATCTGACTCACAGGCCCCAGACCCTCATCTCCCTTTGAAAGCCTTAGCCTTACCTTTTAATCTTATTCAGATGCGCCCTAAAAGAATCTGGCTCCCTTTTGTCTATAGACCCCAGAAAGGCCTTCTCTGGTCTCAAACTGTTCCTTATCGACTCCCCTTATCTCCTTTTGAAAGTCCTAACCCCAACCTTTGATTTTGTGCAGATACCTTCCAAACTTCTGCCTTCCTGTTCCCTCCATTAGCTATTCCCATTGTCTATTCAATCTCTCAGACCTCCCCAATTAGAATTCTTACCTAGACCCTTTTCCCAACCCTCTTCTCTGGCCACCCAAAGTTACTTTAGTATTTAAGATCCACCCTGGCCCTCATTCAGATGCTGAGAATCTCAGGCCCTCAAGGCTTTTCTCATGCCCACCTGACCAGGTGTCACGTGGTCAATGTGATTTTTTTTCACTAATGAGCTTTTCCTCTGGCTGAAGAAGACTTGAGTTGAATTCATTCAGCAGGGCCCAGTACCGCAATTTTGGGTTTGCAGCACCCCAAAAGTCCTAGACCTCTTCACCCCTATTAATGTTCTTGTCAGAAGTTTGAGAAGCAGCTGCTTCACTGACCTGTGTGTTGGCACGGCCTTCCATATATAATATGTTATTTCATACATTTACCTTCTTCCTGGACTTCTGGGAGGAGACCTATTTAATCCTAGTGGTTTAGTTCTAGCTGTTTTCCTAAGCAAGCACGTATATAGAAAGCATAGCAAATTATGTGGCCAACAAACTAGTCATGCTTCAGGATTGCTAATATTGTATTAGTTTTATTTTCAAAATCATGATGTCTGATATAGTTTTGTGTGATCTCAGTCTTGTTATTTTTTTTGCTTCATTTTCCCATACAGTGTACTGGACAAATGGTAAAATGAAAGAATGGTAAAAATGGTAAAGAACCTTGGATAATTAACGTGCTCTATAGTACTTTATAGTATTGTATAATAAAGTGCTTGGTTAAGGGTCTTGGTTTCCACCTGTCTGTCTTTCTTGCTTGCAAGGTTTAGTATTAAATATAATAAAGATATACAAAAAAACCCAATAATGTGGTCCTTTGAAAAAGTGAATTAGCATATCCTTTACAAATACATTTGATAACTAAATGATTTTAATGTCATTAAGTGCTTACTATGTTCGAAGCACTGTGTACTTAGTAGACACATAACCAAAATCTGAAGCCATCAAAAAGTTATGTTTTATTGTACATATACAAATATATAACAGTAAACATTTATTAAATGCCTACTATGTGCCAGGTAACTGTGTAACATGCTGGGGATGCAAAGAAAAACAAAAGAATCTCTGCTCTCAAGGAGCTCATAGTCTAATTGGGAAGAAAATATGCAAACAATTATGTACAATCAAGCAGTAAGCAGGAAAATTTGAGATAATAAAATTAGAATAAAACTAGAATTAAGAGGGATCTCAAAAGTCTTCCTTTATAAGGTGGAGTTTTAGCTGCAACTGAAAGAAACCAGTTGGGGAAGATGAGGTGAAAGAGCTTTCCAGGTATGGAGGAAAGCCAGGGAAAATGCTCAGAGTGAGAAGTGTCTTGTTTGAGGGTCTAAGTTGTAAGGATACTGGAAAGGTGGGAGTGACGCAGGTTATAAAGGGCTTTGCATACCAAACAAAGGCTTTTATATTTAATCCTGAAGGTGATAGGTAGCCACTGGAGTCCATAGAAGGGGATGACAAGGGCGCATCTGTGCTTTAGGAAAATCATTTTGACAGCTGAGTGAAGGATGTCTACAAGGTAATTTGAAGAGGGAAAAATCTGGGCTAA